CAAAATTGTATCAACACTAACTTTATTTGAACGAAACAAGCAAGTGAGAATTTTTATATAAATAAAACTAAACAATCTAATTAACAATTTAAGTAATTATCAAAATTCAATATTAACAAGCTCTAGGGTTTTCGATTTCACCAAACCATTTCGCCTTGAATTATCTATCTAATCAATCTTAAATTATTCCCCTTAATTGACAGTCGAAAATCCCTAAATTAATCGATGCTCCCTTCCGAGTTACATCAAAAATCCCCTTAATTGCTAACCCACTATATTCCTATGTGAATTTCAAACAATTAAAGAGTCATTAAGTTTTATGGATTTCCATGTAGCAACCATACCAACCATGCAAGTATATCCCTATCTTACATGCAATCAATGGAATTCAACACAATGATCGAAAAACATAAATCTCCTTCCGGTTTCATTATGAATTAACTAATCATCCAATTAGTGGCCAATTAATTAGAAGTATTAAGAACAGTGATGAAAACTCAACTAGGACGAATAATTCTTCAATTGATATGATAACATAATTCAAAACATCATGATCCGGCTACATCGTAGCCCTAGAATAGGAAACTTAGAACATAATGAAAAGATAAAACATCTTAACAATATTCTTAAACATGAGAAGAGAAGAAGAAACTATTTTGACGAATTGAAGCAGAATTTCGTTCCCGGGTGCTTCGTATTCTCCTCTGCAGTAGAAAAGTTCTCCTTTCTCTTTTCTAAGTCTCAGCCTGACCTAATTGAGTCTAAAAATTCCTATTTATAGGTTCGGGGTCGTAATGTCACTTTTGGTAATTATTTAGAGATTAAAACATGAAAATCCCGAACTGGCGCCGTGGTTCTGCTTCAATAGCGCTACGACGTCATAACACAGGTTTCAGAAATTCGAAGTGGCGCCATGGCTCTGTTCCTGGGCGCCATGGCGCTACTCGGCAACTTTACGATTTACGATTTTCTTCTCCGTAGCTCCATGGCTCGACTTTATGGCTCCTAGGCGCTTTGCTCTTGGGGTTTGTAGTACTGGAGAACTTGTTTTTGGCGCCATGGCTCCACTTTATGGCACCTAGGCGCTTTGCTCTCAGGTTTGTTGTACTGGGAAACTTGTTTTTCCTCTATCTTCGAAGCCTAGGTGCCCCTTTACAAAGCCTTAGCGCCCATTCTTCAATTTTGCTCCAAAAAATCCCGAACATCACCAATGGACTCCAATTGAAACAAACCTACAAAATAAATTGAAAACACATAAGTAACTCCTAAAAACACCTAAAAACTCACAAAATAATGAGACGGGAAAACGAAAATGTAAACACAAATTCAACTCATCAAATTCTCCTAAACTTAAGATTTTGCTAGTCCTCGAGCATAAGAAAATAAAGAAGCCTAAAATTAATGAAAATGAAATTCCAAAACAAGAGTGACGGTTTTCTTTGATTTACCAAATCGGCCTCAGAGATTTCACACAATAATAGCTCAAGAAAAATATCAAGTATTTGTGATTGTGTAGAATTTCAACCCAAATATCAACTTTCACCTTACCCTAGATTCCTTGAGTGTGTATGTGTATAGCCTATCACAGTCAACTACTTGCACCCAGATCAGTTTATGTAACCAAGTTAATTAAAATTTGGATCTCTTAGATTAAGAATAGTTAGAACTCCATATGCTTGCTTTCCTCATTACTCTCCACTAATGTAGACCAAACAAAACAAAAAGGATCATTAGGACTTAACTTGGCTTGTAATGTGTGGCTCGGGTTTAAAGGTAGGATATAGGATATAAACATGGCTCAAATCACCCAAACACACATAAGCATTCCATTTTCAAGAGCTTCTTCTAATATCAAAGAACAACCCCCAAACCTGCTTTCACTTCCCATTATCATCCGCTTTTCTTTTCATTTGATTTTGTCTTTTTTTTAAAGATTACGACACCCCTAAACTTATTCTTTGACGTACATGATCAAGAGATGTGGTACCTATACATATATATTCCTTTTTTTTGTTTTTTTTTTCAAATAAAGAAATACAATTCCAAGCTCCTCCCATCCTCCCCAAAATCAAATAGCTCTTTAATAATTATCTAGAATGTCCACATGCATATGAGTGAAAAGGTACAACAAGGGATATTATTTCAGGCTAAGGTTAAAACGTGGGTAACAAAGAAAAGGTTAATATAAGCTCAAAGGGGTGAACGAAGGGTATATTATGCACAGGTTGGCTAGAAAGGCTCAAACGTTCAAAAATGGCCTAAATCATATCCTCAATATAATGTAGTCTAGGATTTTGCGTCGAGTAACAATTGAACAAGTTCTAGAATTCTTATGAGATCATATGAATACATAAATCACATAAACTTTCTCTAAGCAAGCAACGCAATCAACTGTTCAAGGCTAAGTGCTCAAAATGTCAAGGAATTTAGGCAATCATCAACAAAAGCGTCAAGCACACACACAAACCACAATATTTATCAATTCGTCGAGAACTAGTAGAAAGCAAAACCAACCTCATCATAGGCCATGGTGTTGTTAAGCCTGACCGTCAATTTTCTCTGTTTTTTTTTAGGAAGAATAATTAAAACATCCCCCAAACTTAAACCAACATTGTCCTTAATGGTAAAATAGAAATTAAGTTTCGAGGACTTACCTGGGCGAGGGTTAAGTCAGATGCCCTCACTATCATCATCTTCATCTTCTGCTGTAGCTGGTGGCGGATACGGTGGAAAGACGGGTGCTGGAGGTAGCCATGGATCCGGTGCTCCTGTGTATTGGCCAAGCATCTGAACTAGTGCAGCTGTGGCCTCCACCTGCCAGGAAGCATAGTGATGAAACTCTTGGCGAAGCTGTTGGATTTCCTGAATCCGGGTCTGCTCTGCCTGCTCCAAACGAGCTACCCTCTCTTCAATGTTCAAAGTAGTGAGAGGGGCCCGATGGGGTGGTCGTGAGGAACTAGCATGTGCGGGGTCCGGAGCAACGTCTTCCTCTTGGTTGTCCTCCCAGCTTTTGTAATGCATAATTATGTGCACTATAATTGCTGGCTTTGGTAGTTGTTGCTCCTATATGTCGATCCAAGTCACTCTCGCATTATGATAAAGGGCAGTAATGAGAGATGGATGTGCTAATCCTCCAGAAGTTGTTTCCCGTATAGTCTTTAGAATTGATTGTTGGATAATGCTACCGACATCGATAGAGCGCCCTGTAAGAATGGAAAACAAAAGGATGGCCCGGTCCTTGTTGATCTCAGTAAATTGCGTACTTGGCATCAATTTTGAGCAAATGAAGTAATTCCATGCTTTTCCCGCTCGAGTTAGCGTGCTCGCCAAAAAGTTGACCGGTTCCTCCCTTGTTGTCATTTTCCATTTAGTGCCAAGCCTCGCCAACTCCCTTATGACTTCCTCATGATTGAAATGTTCACTAGCATACAAAGAGTAGCCATCGTCCTCAATGTTCGGGAGCTTGTAAAACTTGTTTATAGTAAAGCGATCAAAGGATACTATTTTTCCTTGAACACGCACAAAAAACCCTTTACGCTCATGTGCATGTGTATAAAATTCCCGAACAAGTGGTATAACTGCCGCTTCTGGTTGTGCAGTAAATTCTTGCCATCCTCTTGTTTCAATTTCATCATGGATTGATCCACCGTGGAGTTTATCCTCCTGTTCTTCATTTAAAATGGTAGAAATAATAACATGAAGAGTATAGGATTCTCCTAAGAAAGCATACCTCAGATGTGAAGGCAATGTTTAAGATCTATGGTAGGTGGCTTCTCAATAGATGGTAAAGGTCTAGGATTACCTTTTCCAAGCTCTTCAAATGGCTTCTTGAAGAAAACTGGTGGTGTAGGTTCCAAACGATTAATGCATTCCTCAATCTCTGGATTATTGATGTCAACAGATCCAACAAGACAAGCTTTAAGTGGCTTGACAGGGTAGTTAACTTGAAAAACTTTCTTAACACAATCGTCGACAATGTCCACCTTCAAGCAACTTTCTGCATCATCTGGGTGCTTCATTGCCTTTAAAACATTAAAAGTTACCTGTTCTTCTTGAAATCTTAGGATAAGTTGCCCTTTCTGCACATCAATAAGAGTTCTCCCAGTGGCTAAGAACGGCCTACCAAGAATAGTTGAGATTTCTTGGTCTTCCTCCATATCAAGAACAATGAAATCAGCCAGGAAAATGAACTTGTCCACTTTTACTAAAATATCCTCGATGATTCCCCTTGGATACTTGATTGACCTATCTGCCAATTGTAGAGAAATTGTTGTCAGTTTCGCTTCCCCCAAACCTAACTTCCGATAAATGGATAGAGGCATTAAGTTGATGCTAGCCCCCAGATCACATAGGGCTTTGTCAAAGAATGAGTTTCCGATGGTGCACGGTATAGTGAAACTCCCGGGGTCTTTTAGCTTAGGTGGTAACTTCTTCTACAATATAGCACTGCACTCTTCAATAAGTGCAACTGTCTCATACTCCTCTAGTTTTCTTTTGTTGGAAAGGATTTCCTTCATAAACTTCACGTAGCTGGGCATTTGTTCCAGAGCATCCGCAAATGGAATGTTAATATGCAATTTCTTAAACACATCAAGAAATTTAGAAAATTGCTTATCTAACTTTTGCTTCTGAAACCGTTGAGGATATGGAATCAGCGGCCTGTGTGGTGGAGGATTATCGGGGAAAAGCTTTGACTTTGGCTTCTCCACTTCTTTTAGAGGCTCCTTCTCAGTTTGATTAGGCAACTATTCTTCTTTCGTTGGTTCATCAACAACTTCTACTCCGACGGGATCGCTTAACTCTTTGCCACTTTGAAGAGTTATGGCTTTAACATGCTCATTTGGATTAGTCTCTGTGTTGCTTGGTAGAGAGCCTTGAGGACGTGTAGTGAGCCTGTTTAAAAGTTGACCAATCTGGACCTCCAAGTTTCTGATAGACGCACCTTGATTTTGAATAGCCGTCTCTTGTCTTTGAAGTGTAGCATCAGTTCTTGTCATAAACTAACTTGTGTTAAAAGAAAGTTGAGCAAGAGCATCTTCTAATGACACCTTAGGCTGTTGAGGTTGAAAGACAGGAGCTGGCTTTATCACATTTTGGTTATTCTTCCATGAAAGATTCGGGTGATTTCGCCATTCTGGATTATATGTGTTGGAGAAAGGACTATTTTGCTGCCGCTTGAAATTTCCAACAAAGTGAGCTTGCTCAGATTGATGAGAAGCAAATGAGTTGCCAACTGGACATTCGTTACTTGCATGGTCTCTACTACATAGCTCACATACCTCCGGTTCCGTGTGTATGGCATTTGTAGTTAGTGAACCCAACTGCTTAGATAATGTGGCTACTTGAGCAGTGAGTGTGGAGAGAGCATCAACTTCATGAATTCTGAATGCTCTCTTTGGTGTTGAACGTTCCACTGGCCACTGATATGCATTAGCAGCCATATCTTCTAATAGTACATAGGCCTCTTCATGTGTCTTGCTCATGAAAGTTCCACCTGCTGCTGCATCTACAAGAGTTCTAGTTGTTTCATACAACCCATTGTAAAAAGTGTGCACTTGAAGCCAATCAGGTAATCCGTGGTGTGGGCATTTTCTCAACATTTCCTTGTACCTTTCCCATGCCTCATAAAGCGATTCCATGTCATGTTGAGTAAAGGTGGTAATGGCATTCCGCATCTTAGCTGTTTTTGCAGGAGGAAAGAACTTTGCTAGGAACTTTTGGGCCAAAGCATCCCAAGTAGTAATGGTTCCCGGCGGAAGATAGTTTAGCCAACTTTTTGCCTTGTCTCGAAGTGAAAACGGGAACAATCTCAGTCTAATGGCATCATCAGAAACACCATTATTCTTAAAAGTGTCGCAGATTTCCAGGAAGCTAGCAATGTGGGCGTTAGGGTCATCATTGGAGAGCCCACCAAATTGGCACCATCATTCTTAAAAGTGTCGCAGATTTCCAGGAAGCTAGCAATGTGGGCGTTAGGGTCATCATTGGAGAGCCCACCAAATTGGCTAGATTGCACCATTTGGATAATAGCCGGCTTAATCTCAAAGTTGTTGGCTTAAACTGCAGGCCGCCTTATACCTGAAAGTGCCTCATTAACAACGGGCATACCATAGTCACGTAATGCTCGATTGTTTACAACTTGTTGCTGGTTGTCTCTAGCTCCTTGCTGATTAACGTCATTTTCTACTCTTCCAGCGCCGTCCATGGTTTCTTGCAACTGTCTAATAGCTTCTCTTTTGTCCTTTCTATTCTTTCGACAAGTACGCTCGATCTCAGAACCGAAAGGAATCAAATTAGAACTTTCAGATCGTCTCATACACCTAAGAAAACGCCTGAAGAAAGAAAACACAAACTAGTGTAAATAAAAGAAAATAATTCCAAAGTAAAGTTAGAATTCTTAGTATCGATATTAATATTTAAATCAGTCCCCGGCAACAACGCCAAAAACTTGTTACGTATTTTCGCAAACGCAAGTGCACGTTATCATATCAAGTAGTAAAGTTCGTAGAAACGAGTACCGTCCCACGAGGACTGAATAATATTAATTACCGAAATTGTATCAATACTAACTTGATTTGAACGAAACAAGCAAGTGAGAATTTTTATATAAATAAAACTAAACAATCTAATTAACAATTCAAGTAATTATCAAAATTCAATATTAACAAGCTCTAGGGTTTCCGATTTCACCAAACCATTCCGCCTTGAATTATCTATCTAATCAATCTTAAATTATTCCCCTTAATTGACAGTCAAAAATCCCTAAATTAATCGATGCTCCCTTCCGAGTTACATCAAAAATCCCCTTAATTGCTAACCCACTATATTCCTATGTGAATTTTAAACAATTAAAGAGTCATTAAGTTTTATGGATTTCCATGTAGCAACCACACCAACCATGCAAGTATATCCCTATCTTACATGCAATCAATGGAATTCAACACAATGATCGAAAAACATAAATCTCCTTCCGGTTTCATTATGAATTAACTAATTAACCAATTAGTGGCCAATTAATTAGAAGCATTAAGAACAGTGATGAAAACTCAACTAGGACGAATAATTCTTCAATTGATATGATAACATAATTCAAAGCATCATGATCCGGCTACATCGTAGCCCTAAAATAGGAAACTTAGAACATAATGAAAAGATAAAACATCTTAACAATATTCTTAAACATGAGAAGAGAATAAGAAACTATTTTGACGAATTGAAGCATAATTTCATTCCCGGGTGATTCGTCTTCTCCTCTGCAGTAGAAAAGTTCTCCTTTCTCTTTTCTAAGTCTCAGCCTGACCTAATTGAGTCTAAAAATTCCTATTTATAGGTTCGGGGTAGTAATGGCACTTTTGGTAATTATTTAGAGATTAAAACATGAAAATCCCGAACTGGCGCCGTGGTTCTGCTTCAATGGCGCTACGGCGTCATAACACAGGCCTTCAGAAATTCGAAGTGGCGCCATGGCTCTGTCCCTGGGCGCCATGGCGTTGCTCGGCAACTTTACGATTTACGATTTTCTTCTCCGTAGCTCCATGGCTCGACTTTATGGCTCCTAGGCGCTTTGCTCTTGGGGTTTGTAGTACTGGAGAACTTGTTTTTGGTGCCATGGCTCCACTTTATGGTGCCTAGGCGCTTTGCTCTCGGGTTTGTTGTACTGGAAAACTTATTTTTCCTCTATCTTCGAAGCCTAGGTGCCCCTTTACAAAGCCTTAGCGCCCATTCTTCAATTTTGCTCCAAAAATTCCCAAAATCACCAATGGACTCTAACTGAAACAAACCTACAAAATAAATTGAAAACACATAAGTAACTCTTAAAAACACCTAAAAACTCACAAAATAATGAGACGGGAAAACGAAAATGTAAACACAAATTCAACTCATCAGTTTTCCGCCCTTTTGTTGTTATTTCATTGCCATTCTTAGGACTTGCTTTGATTTCCAGAGTTCCCATGGTTCTGGTTGTTGTGGCTTTTAAAGGCTTCATTTTGGTGGGCATGTTCTTCCTTATGCTTGTTTAAGTGGTACTCAGCATGAAGGGCACCTTTGACACATTCAGCTGTGGTGGTAGGCGGAGTGATTCCATTGTCAACAATTACTGCAATCTCAGGTCTAAGCATCGCGATCATCTTCCTTAGTCGCTCCTCCTCAGTTGGCACCATAATGGGACATAGCCGTGCCAGTCGGTTAAACTGATTAACAGCTTCATTCACAGATAATCCCCTTGGCAAAAATTATTGAACTCGTCATAATACTTCCTAGTCACAGACATGTTAAAGTACTGCTCATTAAACTCTTGAAGAAAGTCTTGCCACGCCATCTGATCTACATTTATGCTCAGTTCTAATCCTTCCCACCAGATCCTAGCATCATCCATCAAACAGTAAGAAGCACACTTCACTTTCTCATTCTCATTTAAGTCCATGAACCCTCGTACCAACTCGATAGACTTCAACCATCCTTGAGCTACCAAAGGGTCAGTTGATCCACGGAATTCTTTAGGTTTCATCTTCTTTAACCTCAGGTATAGAGGCTCGAGATTTCCTACAGCCTGAACTCCTCTGTCTTGCCCTGGTTGTGGAACTGGTGGCTTAGCTGGAACTTCGACTCTGTTCCTATTAGCTTGCAAATGATTGATAATCACTTGTCGTTCTTGCAGTTGTCTTTGTAATTGTGCTACCACATCTACCAAATTAAGTCTTGCCGCTGTCTCAACTTCAGCTTGTCCACAGCCTCTACCCCGCCCTTCACGTAACTGTGTCATCACCTCTGCTAAATTGGGCTCTGCTGCAGCCTCAGTTCTGCCTTGCCCACGTCCATTACGATGGCCACGAGCTCCGTGTCCTCATCCGCGTGCCATCTTATCTTAATCGTTTGTCAGTAATTAAATTGTAACTAATAAGGAAACTCTCTATTTTAAGACATCAATAAGGATCCACACTTCTATAATTTGAAAACTTAACCTCATAAAAATTTACATTTCCTCTAAAGAAATTAAATAACTACTTACTTGGAGATTTTTGGAGTAAATGCGTGGCAACACATGATAGGAAATAGGAAACCACTTTGATACCATATCTGTAACGACTATTCACAGGCCGTCACAGTTATCTTAACTTTCAAACATTTACCTCTTAAAGAATGCGGAAAAATAGTTAAACTTAAAACACTTTACTTTGAATAACTTAAAGAAAAGCCTAGATTTTTTTTTATATTATAACTTTAAAAAGTTTAAAACTCATCAATGAAAAATCATCTTTAGGTTCAACTCATTTATAAAAATCCATACCGTAAACTAAAATAAAAAAAGATCTTAAGTATTCTTCAAATCAAAACCACCATAAACCAAAGTTCCAAAACAATAAAAATGAAAACTAAAAACCTTGTTTAACATTAAACACTTTCATCTCATGATCGTTTCTCTCGTTTTCCTATCACGTATAGCTCGCATCCGCTCCAATATTCTCCATGGCTACATCTTACCCTTTCGATTGTCTGTAACATGAAATAACTTATATAAGCAACGATTTAGTAAGACACTTAATTCTCACAAATGTAAATAAACATTTTTATTCATCAACAATAAACGTCATCATGAGAATAATTATTTTTGAACATATTTTAAACTTTAAAATCCATCATATATTGGGCCCAACGTTGTACCATCATAGCGCGCTAGCCACAGAAAGCATGGGGTAGCAAATTCCATATCAACTGTGGCAATAAGACCGCTCGTCGGTCACCATCAAAGGAGTACAACGCCATTTAAAAACATAAAAATACATATATATATATTTTTCTTCAAAACGTCATCATATGAAATATTAAAGGTGTCATAACATCATCATAAACATCAAAATCATATACTTCACAATTCTTCAATTCATGTTGCAGGTGAGAGTATACTTACATAAGCGTCTTACTTAACCTTTTAAAATTTCATAACGGTGAAGTGACGAATGAGGTCCTCGGGTGCTCGCCTCTAGAACCGTTCATGCCATAAATCATAAATAAGATTACTAAAAAGCCTTAATAACTCATCAAATATATTGACTATGTTAAAACAACATCTAATATACCATTCTCACCATTCATTAACATCAAGACATATAAAATCCCAATAATTACACCAATTTTCGAACTGTTATAAAAACTAACAGCCTGACCTTTATCTATTTAAAAATTAATATCAAATCATAGAAATCTCAAAACGATCTGAAACTGATGCCAAATGAAAATTGACATCAAGATATTTCCAACGACACATTATTTGTTAAAAAACGGAGTTCGTTTGGTCCCTCAAACACTGTTTTAAACTCATATCATATTAGTTGGAAAATTCCAGCACAGTAAACTCCGAAAATACCAAAATAAATTCATTACAGATAAAATTAATTCCAACCATATGTATACTTTAATCAGCCCTAAGACATGTTTATTAGTTGGAAAATTCCAGCACAGTAAACTCCGAAAATACCAAAATAAATTCATTACAGATAAAATTAATTTCAACCATATGTATACTTTAATCAGCCCTCAGACATGTTACTAAAACATTCAAATTACATATTCTATAAAAATTCTCATGGCAAAGCGAACTAGAAACATCAATATAACCATCAAAATTCACATATCTTGCAACTCGAATCCAAAAATAATATGCTAACTCATGTTTCTATGAAATCACAATTTATAACATAAAAAGGAAACAACAATATAAGAAAATAATATAATTCTTAACTCGCCTCTCTAGAATTTATCAAATTATGAAGACACCAAAACACCTAAAACAATAACCATGTCATACATGATCATCGCAAAATAAAACATACGGCCATGAACATTAAAACCTCACCTAAATCACATATATCATCCCTCAATCTTCAACCAAAAAAAATTATTCATTATCTCCTTAAACCAACAACCAACACCAATGGAAATCACCTAATAACAATGAATACTAAATTAGAGATGGAACATACCTTAAAATCTTCTTAATTGTGGCTTAGAAGAACCAAA